CTGCGTGCCCATGACTAATCCTGACGGCTCTCCAGTCCCAGACCTCCTTTCCTAGGTGTCCTAAGACCACAGCCACTTAGGTTTGGCTTCCTTGAACTGAGACCCAAACTGAACTTGACATCTCTCCATCCCTGGACCCACCCTCTTCTTGTAGATCCTACATGAGACGAAAACCTGAGGGTCCTTCTCAACTCTTTATCTCCTCATTCCTCTGAATCAGCCACCAAGTCTCATAAAATCTACAACAGCTCTTAAATCAAAAAGTTTCCCTGTTTCCCCTACTCACAGCCCTCTTTTAGCCCTAAGCATCCTTGTAGCTGACCTCAGAAGCTGCCTCCCAACCGACCTCTTGTATCCTATCTTTCTTGTCATGTATCTGCCACATGGTTCCTGGAACAAGTCTGGGGACCACATTCCCAGTGGGCACTGACTGTGCAGGTTCTAGGACCCCACCCTCAGGCAGCTCCTGGTATAAGCCCATACCCCCAAGTCCACCCACCCCCTGACTTCAGTCTTTGGCCCTCTTGAACCAAGAGAGAGAGACCACACAGCTCCAGGTTCACACTTACCCTATAACATTCACAGAAAACAAGCCTCATCAGAATGAATGGAAGAGTGTCCTTGCTTTGAATGAAATGCCAATAAGGGATAACTTAAGGTAATTATGGAGTCATGTCAGAAGTTAAATTATAGACATTGTCATGTTAGAAACACCATTTCTCAAGAGAGCCACTTGGAGACATCTGTTCAACCTGAGCTCATTATCTTTCCCTCCGGCCTGCTTGTCTCCTGCATCCCACCCATGATGTATGGAAGCCTCAGCTTTAGCCAGGGCTCCCGCTTTCCTTCCTCCCCATGGCCAGTTGCTTACAAGTGCTGTTGATTTAACCTCAAATACCTGGCCATGTTGTGGTCACTGCTTTCCTTAGGTCTTCACTATTGTTGCAACCTTGGGTGAATGACTGAATGAGTCAGAGCCTCCATTTTCCTCATCTGTAAAATAGTATATATTTTTTTAAACACAGTGAAAATTTCACCTAGGTCAAGTGTGCCAAACATCTAGCAGAGAGCTGGGTTAGGCTGAGCATTCAGGAAATGCTATTTCCATATTCCCTTCATGCTTCCCCACCTCTCATTCTTGCCAAGTCAGATCACATGATTTCCTTTACTTAAAAGTGGTCTGTAATTTCCCATCCTACAGGATAAAATCCGAATTTTTTATCAAGGCCTTTGGCCCTTCTGGTTCCTGCCCACTACCTTCACCACTGTTCAACCACATGGACCTACTCCATTTATTAAAAACATAGTCATTCTGGGGGGCTTCCGGTCAAGATAGCAGATAGGTAAATGCTGTGTTTGCTTCCTCTCACAACCACATCGGAATTACAGCGAAACTACAGAATAGCCATCATTGGGAATCACCCAAAGTCTAGCTGAATAGAAGTCCTTCAACTGGGGACACACAGAAGAGGCCACCTCGAGACTAGAAAAAAAGAACAGTCATTTCAAAGTATTGTCCCACAGATTACTTGCTGGTCCTAAAGGAAGAAACTTCTCAATAAAGGGATCAGCTGTCACCAGTGGGACCTGTCAATCAGCCTTCTATCACTAAGGCAAAGAGCTCAGGCATAGAGGACGCCCTGACTTTTGTGATAGGGAGGAAGCGTCATTACCCGTGGAGTGTTTTTGCCAGTATCGTCAACCTGAATTTAATCAGGCCTGTAGATCTAATTTCTAGTTTACAGGAAACACAGGATAAACAACACAAGGAGGAAGCAATCAGAGAAATCTAGAAGGTGGGACATGATGTCTGTAATTTATTTAAAATGTTTTAACAATTCAACTACTCAATGGCATAGGGGGGAAAAGTTATCCTAGATTTAAATGAGACTTAAGAAACATAACCAAACACAACATGTAGACCTTATTTGGATCTGGTTGGAACAAACTAATTGCAAAAGAAGCCTTTCGGGGGACAATTAGGGAAATTTGAATATGGGCTGGTTATTAGATCATTTTAAAGAATTATTGTTAGTTCTGTAAGGGGTGATCATAATCTTGTAGCAAGAAAACTTCCTGAAGTATTTAGGGGTGAACAGTCATGAAAACTCTAAATCACTTGACAATATTTTAGTAAAAATAATAAACATGCTAAAATGTTAATAATTATTAACATAATTACCCATCTAGGTAATGGGCATATAGGGTATCATTTTACTATTCTCTACTTCTCTTTCAGTTTGAAATGTGCTTAATAAAAAATATTTTTTAAAATGGATTTGAATGCCAACTATATACTAGTCACTGGACTATGGCAAAACTTAATGTGGTCCTTGTCTCCATGAATCATAGAGAGTGGTAAAGGAGAGGTGAATAATCAATTAATCACACTAATATATGAATAGTGACAAGTAGATGAAAATGCTTTGAAGGAAGGTACATAGGTCTTGAGGGGTTAAATGATGGAAGCCGACCTGGTCACAGTCTGGAGGGGTGGGAAGAGGTTTTCTCCGAGGCAGGATTGATTCAGTGGAGCTCTGAATAGGAGCAGGTGTTGGCCAGGCACAGGAGAAGGGAGGTGGGGGGAAAGTTCGCAGTGGAAGGAAGGAACAGTGTGTGTTAAGGGAAAGAAAGGGAGCTTTTTGCTTTAGACTCTTCAGCTGCGGGGTGGGCAGCTGAAGGGAGGATAGCACAGGGAGGTGGAGGTGAGGAGAACCTGTGGGTAGGATTGTCAGACTCAGGTAACCCTACCTGTGAGCCAAATTAATAGTTTCACTCTTCCTCCTGAAAGCAATGGGAAGACATTAAAAGGGTTTGAACAAGGAGTAACACAATCCAGTTTGTGGCTTGGAAAGATAACTGGTGGCTACGTAGAGGGCATGACAAGATGTGGGGGTTCTGCTGGGGTGGGCTGGAGTAGAGGTAGGGAGAAACAGACATACGGTGTAATGGTGATGTGGCCCGTTGAGGTACCAGGATGATGCCTGAATTTCTGGCTGTAGAAGTGGACAGATGGAGGAGACATATACTGAGAAAGGTTTCCCTGGAAGTGGACATGTGGCAGAAGAGGTGGATCGTCAATAGTTTGGGACAGGTTGAGTTTGCCGGGCTTTCGAAATGCCTGAGGTGGGCAGTGAGGTGTCTTTGTCAGAGCTGAGAGGAGAGGTGTGGGCTGAGTCATGTACGCTGCCCACCACTTTGGCTAGATGGTACTTGCGGAGTGGGCATGGAAGAGAGTCCAGAGAGAGAAGGGAGAAATTCTCCTGGCAGTTCGAGGAAGCCAAACTGAGCCTTGAGGACCCCTAACATTTGGGCTGAGGAGGGGAGAATGAGCTTGTGCTGAAGACCAAGAAAGGGTGACAAGTGAGGCAAGAGGACACCAGAAAAGCAAGGTGCCTGGAGGGGGAGGTGGGACTGGAAAGTTCCTAGAAAGAGGAAGTGGCCAATCATGTGGGATGCTGTTGAGAGGTCAAGATGGGAGGGCTGACAAGAGCCTGCCAGTTTTGATGAGATGGAGTCCACTGGGACCTCAACAAGAGCTATTTCGGTGGCAGCTGGAGGTGGAAGCAGATGGAAGTGGGTTGAGGAGTAAGTGGGAAGTGAGAAAAGGAAGACAGTGTGTAGACAGCTCTTGCAGGAAGTTTGGCTGTGAAAGGAAAGAGAGAGGGATGGGAACTAGAGCCCGTGGGGTCAAGGAAAGATTTGGCTTTTTAATGAGAGAGACGTGAAAGAGAGATAAGGGATGACTCTGAGAGGGCAGATGCGACAGGACCAACACCAGGGCACTTCCTCTACTTTACAGGAGTGGATGGCTGTTGATGGCTGGTAGTTAGCGGCAAGACAGGTCCTGGCCTTTATTCCTTGCCCATACTGTTTCATCAGCTGGAATTTTTCTCTCATGCCTCCTATGTCTATTCCTGTTGTTCACTATTTAGAACCTAAGTGGAAGGTTACCTTCTCTGAAGACTTCCCTCCTCAAGGTCATCCTCCCGGACCTTGATCATCCCTCTATTGCTACTTGTCAAATTAGCATGTAATGTCCATCTCTCCCACAAGACTGCATTTTCTGAGTTCCCCTGGCTGGGGCTTGCTATCAGCTGGGTGCTCAGTGACTGTGGATAAATAGATGAATGAACTCCTATAGACATGTCCTAGAAGTATAGCAGGAGGAGGGCAAGCCTGAAGTAATTCCTGGGATTGTGGAACAGGGATGAGAAAAGGCTAAGCTACTGCAAAGAGCACTTGCATTTATCCAGTGCTTCTATGGTCCAGGAGCTAAACATATGGGTTTCTCATTTAATCCTCACAGCCTCAGGAAGAATACTGACTGCTTGTATATTACTTGGTTTCCCCTAGTTTACTAGAATGCAAACTTCTGGGGGGTGGGTGTCTGTCTTGTTCACCACTGATCCAACACTAGATAGGCTCATAGACAGGGATGCCAAATGAAATATAGGATGTTCAGTTAAATTTGAATTTCAGAGAAACAATAAATCATTTTTTAGTATAAATATGTTCTGTATTTTGTGTTAAATTTGGCAATCCAGTACATAGTAGATGTTTAATAAATATTGTTGAATAAATGTTGCTTGATTACATGACACCCTGGGGATGCAATCAGCAAATTCCAGACTGGAAAATCTAAATGATAGTCTGTTAAGTCTATTATCTTCAACGAATAAGTTGCAAGGAGAAAATAAAAAGAGATAAAGGAATGTATGGATTAAAAGAGTTAAGAGGTATTTCAAGCACTTGAAATCCTTCTTTGGATCTTAATTCAAATAAACTAAACAAATTACAAAGAAAAATATTATAAGATAATTAGAAATTATATTTGGCTATTTGATGATGTTAAAGGATAACTTAATTCTTTTTAGGTTTGATGATAGCATTGGGGTTATGTTTGCTTTTAAAGAGTCCTTATCTTGTAGAAATATGTATTAAAATATTTAGGAGTGAAATTATATGATGTCTGGGATTTGTTTCAAGATAATATGGGTTATGTTCTATATGTTTTCTTTAAATTATTTTTTCATCCTTGTGCATGGGCCATGCTAATCTTCTCTATATCCTTCCAATTTTAGCATATGTGCTGCTGAAACGAGCACTATGTTCTATATCCTAATTGTAGTGGTTACATGGGTGTATTCATTTGTGAACACTATTCGAACTGTACACTTAAAATGTGCATTATTGTATGTGAATCATATATCAGTAAAGTTGATTTTTTAAAAAATGGGAATAGGGGAGGAAGTGGGTGGGGTTATAAATAAAACAAGATTGGCCATGAGTTGATAAGTGTTGAAGTTGGGCGTTGGTTAAATAACTTGCCCCCAAATCACATAACTGGTAAGATGATGAGTCTGGAATATGAAGAGACCTATCTGAGTTTATAACTTAAGCTGTTAACCCTGGGTGCAGATTTCCAGAAGGGGTAGAGCCAAGTGTGGGTATGGCTAGGGGGTAACACAGCCTTTCTGGGCTGGAACAGGCTTAGGGAATTCTAGAAGCAAGATGGGCAAAATGGTGGTGGCCACAGTGTAGTGGGGCAAGAAATGGCTTCCTTCTTAGATTCATTGTCATGGGGTAGACTCTTGGTTATGACTCTTGGTTAGATCATTGTCATGGGGTAGACTTGGGACCTGGCTGCCTGGCTCTGACACTGGCTAGCAGTGTGACCTTGGGCTAGTCACTTGAAGTCTCTGTCCCTCACTTTCCTCATTTATAACACAGCTATTAATAGGAATGTATAATGGTATAGCCAGTTTATAAAATAATTTGGCAGTTTCTTCAAAAGTTAAACATAGATTTACTATATGACCTGGAAATTCTACTCTTAACATGAAAACATATGTCCACACAAAGACTAGTATGCCAATGTTCATAACAGTATTTATTATTTATAATAACTGAAAAGTGGAAACAACCCAAATGTGATTGGATAAACAAACTGTGGTATGTCCATACTATGGGATACTACTCAGCAACAAAAAGAGACACACTACTAACACATGCTACAGCACAAATGAACCTCAGAAACATTATGCTTTTCTGAAAGAACTCAGAGGCAAAAGACCACGTATGGTATAATTCCACTCTATGACATGTCTAGAAAAGACAGCTCTAGAGAAACAGAAAGTAGATTAGTTACTGGGGGCTGGGGGTAGGAATGGACAGTTACTGCAAGTTGAGATAAGGGGTCTCTTAGGAAATGTTCTAAAATTGGATTGTGGTGATGGTCATATAACTGTAAATTTAATAAAAATCATTGAATTGAACACTTAAATTGGGTTATGTATGACATATACAAATTTAGAAATATAGTATCTATCTTATAAAATTGTTATGGGGATTAAATAACAAAGTTCTTAGAACATTATGGGCTAGATGTCTGGGGCCAGTTCTCTGCTGTGACTTCCTCTGGGGAAAGGGCAACTAGATAGGTCCCCTGCTCCCAAATCCTCGAATAGACCTTTAGGTGAGACCTAGATGGGTCACAGAAGAAGAAGGACTGGCTTCCAGGTTCCTCGGAGTCCTTCCTATGCCTTGTTACAGAGGTGTCAGATGGCACCCAGCGTCCAGGCTTGTCGCCTTTTCTCTTTTGGAGAGGAGAGGTTCCTGAGAAGGGTGTTGCCTTCTCATCCCACAAGCTGAGGACGGGGTTGAGTGTCCTCTACTGTAGGCAGTGGGAATTGCAACAGCGGGGACAGCCCGCTTTCCCCATCCTGAGAATGTTGTGAGGTAGCTACTATTGTCCCCTCTTCACTGATAGAGACATTGAGACTCAGAGTGTCTAGGTGACCTGCTTGGGATTGCATAACAGACACCCCCAGACCAAGCCCTCTGAAAATGGATGCTTGATAACTCCAGGTCCTTTCAGCTGGAGAGTTAGACTAACTCCTACGGTTTGCAAAGTGCTTCCATACCTCCCTCCGGGCTATATTTCAAGGAGCCAGATCGAAGGTAGGGGAAGAAGGGAAATTGGAGGTGGAGGAGGAAATTACTCCTCTAGGAAAGGACTCTCAATAGTAACTATCCCCCACAAAGCCCCCAAACTCAGATTTGGGGGACTGGTGACTTTTGTAGTGAGAAGGCTCTGCCATAGATCTTTTGTAGGGAGAAGGCTCTGCCATAGATCTTCATTGTTATATAAGATTTATTCATTTATTCATAGCAAAATATTTCTTGAGTGTTCTCTCTTTGTGTCAACACCATGCTAGACAGAAATGCAAAAATGATTGAGACTCTAGGGGGTAAAAGGAGTTTCTCAGTCCAGGTTCCTGCAGATGGGGCCCAAGCCCCCTTTCCAGGCATTTCAGCTGCCAGGAGGGTGGAATATAGTCGGATGGAAGCAGATGCCTCTCTGCCCCACAAGCAAAATAAATCGGCACTGCTGTCTCTTGGGATAAGAGTTCTCAGCACAGTCCCTCAGAAGACACAGCTGTGAAGATCATCATCCTTCCAGAACTTTCCTCCGGTTTGTATGAGGGAGAAGTGGGGGAGGAGGTCAGGGCTTTGGGAGCACTTAGGAACACTGGAGTCTAGACCTGCAGCACCCCAGGATCTCCCCTCATGACAACTGCCCTGGAGATTTCTGTAGAAGATGCTGGGGGGTAAGGATTTTGAGCACCTCCCGAGTTAGTCAAACTCTAGTCATATCTTGGGGCCTTTACTTCTGGCAGGTGGGAGGTCAACCTTCCTGATTCCTTTCTACCCAAATGTTATTTGATGATAGGTAGGAAAAAAAATGCTTGCATTGTCACCACCAGGAGGGTTAGGATGCAAGCCACATCATTTGTCTCCTTACAGAAACCCTCTCTTACCCCAGTCCCAGAATGAGATAGTTCTTCCTGTGACATCTCCCCAGCTTCTTTCCACATCCTTATTCTTTCCACACCCTTACTCAAAGCCATCATAACGATCTCTCTTTATATTTCTGGGAATGGGAGGTAGCTATATTTCAATAACCTGATTTTTATCAAGAGAGAAATATTCTGGGGGTTCATTAATTCACTTACAAATATTTATTGAGCACCTATTATGTCTGAGCACTATTCTAGGTAGTGGGGATGCAGTACTGATTAAGACAAAGTTCTTAGCTCATTTCCAGACTAATTGGAGAGACTGACAATAAAGAATAAATACGTTCAGAATTTCATATCACAGCAAGGTATACAGAAACTAAAGAAGGGTAAGGGGATAGACCATGCTGTGGGGAGGTGGTTCTCCATTATAGGGGGTTTTATTGGGGAGTCACTTTTTCTTCGCTTTACTCTTTTGGAGGAAATAAGAGTAAGGGTCTATGTGTGCCTTCTTCTGGCCTCCTCAACCCATTTTGGCAGCTCAGGACTCAGAGGGCAGTCTTGGGAATGGAGGTGGGCTGCAGAGCCAGCTGCTCAGATTTTGGTCGAGAGGCCGTTTAGAAATCGCATTAGAAAAATGGAAACAGGTACTGAGAAAGTCTATCGTCTTCCGCGGTATAAATACCCCTCTCCCCGAATGTGTTTTCCTTTGTTCATCTGACACACACTTACTCAATTCCTAACTACTTGTTCAAGATTTTTTGAGCCCATTGTATGCCAGGCACTGTTCTAGGGGACTGGAACCGAGAGGTTGAACACATTCTCTGCCCGCAGGAATCTCAGCTGTGTAAAGCTTGTAAACCACCACCGCCGCATTTCATTTTTTCCGTCAACATTGTTTTTGAGATTCATCTGTTGATTCGTATAGCCCACAGAGGGTAAATATGTACATTCCCATTTTACAGATGCGTAAACCGTGACTGCTAAAGGAAAAAAATGAATTGCTTTGCGAAGACTAAATGTCGGGACACCACCCAGCCACGTGCAGAGGCACATTTCGCCCTGGCAATCCCACCCGCGCACGCTCCCTCCTTCGCTGGCTCCCAGCCGCCGCCGCGCCGGGTCCACGTGTGTGTATCTGTGAGCCGAATGGGGACGGGGGCGGTGCCGCCGGAGGGGTGGGGTCCGGGTAACGTCACAGTCTTGCTACCCAATCAGCGGCGGGCTCGCGGCCCCGGCGCTGGTATTGGGGCAGCGAGGGGGCAGTTCTCTATAACGCGGTCTCCGGGAGCCAGCGGGGAAGAAAGAAGCCGAGCGGGCGGAAGGCTCCGTCCCCACCGCTTGGGCCCGGACACCGGGTGCCGGGCCCGGGGTCCTTCCCGCCTCCCGCGGTCGCTGGTCGCTTTGTTTCCCCCGCCTCTGCGCTCCAGGCTATTCGAGAGGGGCTCCTGCCGGGGCTGCACAGGGAACGCGGCGGCAGGAAGGGCGGCCGACCGCGCCGGGACTCAGGGACCCAGGAGTCCGGCTGCCGGGAGGGCCGCGTGACGAGATCGAGGAGGGAGCCAGAGCTCCGCCGCCCAGGGGTGCGGGCCGGGGGCGCCCGTGAGCAGAGGCCTCCCCGTCGAGGGGGGGCGATGTTCCCCTCGTCCGTGGGCTCTTCGGGCAGCCAGGGCATCCCGCTGCTGGGACCAGCGCCCCCTCAGTGGGCACCCCCCCAGGCGGTTCCATGGAGACTCTGTGCCCGGCTCCCCGCCTCGCAGTGCCGGCGTCCCCGCGAGGGTCGCCCTGCTCCCCCACACCCCGGAAGCCTCGTCGGGGGACCCAGGAGTTCTCTCCGCTGTGCCTGCGTGCCCTTGCCTTCTGCGCCCTTGCCAAACCTCGGGCGTCCTCTCTGGGCCTGGGGACTGGGGAGCCGGCGCCGCGAGCCCCGGTGCTACTGGGCCCTCGCGGCACCCTGTGCACCGGCGGCTGGGCCCCGGATGGCCTGAAGCACCTCGCAGGACAGGCCGGGCGGTCCAGCGATCCGAGCTCCCAGGCCCCCCAGGATGCCGACGCCGCGGTGTGCCCGGGCCGCGGCGAGGAGGAAGAGGGCGGAGGCAGTTTCCCGCACTTCAGCGCTTGCTCCCGCGGACCTCCGGGCTGCTGCCCGGCGCCCTGGAGCCCTCGGGAACCTCCGACTAGCTCCGCTTCGGCTCCGCCTAGGCCAGCCCCGGGTCTCGATTCCCAGCCTGGCCCCACCGCCGCCAGCCCGCATCAGGAGCCCGATTCCCAACCTCCATCGCCACCTGCGGGCCTCTCCATCGAGT